GGGCAAAGGGCTATGAGAACAAGAGAGGGGCTCCGAGGGCTGGATAGGAAGGCATCCTTTTTCCCCAAGCACCTCACCCACACTGGGCCAGAGACCCCAGATCTACTGGTTGAGGGGGTGGGGGTGGGGGCTGGCCCAGTGGTGGGGGAAGCAAAGCCAGTGGCAGCTGCAGCCAGCAGTCGGTCAGAGGTCGGGTCCGCCCAGCCTGGGGGCCACTGGGGGGGGGCGCATGTGGTGTCTCCCAGGAGCCAGCCGCCTCCACTCCCCTCACCTCAGCATCCAGGGAGGCGTCTGCTTTCTTCCTCCACAGGGTTCTCCTGGCTGCTGCCGACTCTTTCTGCACCTCCTGGATGCAGGCATGGGGTGGAGACCAGGGGCTCAGGGTGACTACAGAGGGACTCGGGGGCCCCAGGACCCCCCTTCCTGACGGAGGACCCCTGACCCTTCTCTTCTCCGTCTCCACGCCTAGAACGTCCCCACTGCTCCCAGGCTGCCCTTCTCACCCAGTCATTCTGCCGCAAAAAGGACCGTGTAAGAGACCTCAGGAGGGACAGGTACCTGGGGGTCCTGATCTCCAGGCTCCTGGGTCCTGCTGATCCACAGGTTGAGCCTTGATGTCACAACCCCCGAGAGCCTCAGGTTCTCCTGAAAAGACAGGCTTCCATCTCGGGTCAGGGCCACTGGCAACAGCACAGCACGTTCAGAGGCCCCCGGGACAGGCCGCAGGACCACCCCCGGGAGCTGTGCGCACAGCTGAGGGACTTGGGGCTCAGCACAGAGACTGCAAGTTACTCAGGTCAGCGGCAAGTCCTGCCAAAATCGACGTGTGAAGTCACGGAGCTTCCTAGCCCTGCCGAGGCCCAGGTTTGGGTTCTGCAGCCCTGCAGGCTTATCGGCCTGAGGACACCTGGCTGGGCCCAAGCTGCTCACCTTCCGGCTGGAGGCCGGCTCGTCTCGGCTCTGACCCACCAGCTCCTTCTCAAAGAGGTGGCGCTTGCTGGCCACGTCCACGGGAGCCACCAAGAACTCAGTGCGGGAGGACCCTGGAGACTTGACGGATTCTGATCTCTGGGAGCAGAGAGCAGGACAGCTGACCCACAGGGAGGGGTGGCGGCCCCACCCACCACACCCATCAGGTCTCCTCCCCCCAGAAGGGCCCCACCCACCTGTATAGCCGTGTGGTATCGCTCCAGCTTCTGGCCTAACTTGACCATGCCAGCCGGGAGCCTCATGCTGCTGCTACGGGACGGAGGACAGGGTGAGACAAGCAGGTGAGATCCTGGCCCTCCCGAAGGGGACAGGCCTGCCTCCACTCCCACGCCATTCTGACAGGGAGTATGGCCCCCATCACTGGGTGAGACCATAATGGCTGGGCGAGTCCCCAGGGACCCCGCGGTCCTCCCTAGGGACAGTCGTTCAGCAGGACATCCCCAGGACCAGAAATAAATGCCACCCGTCCCCCACACTATCACTTCCCCCTAAAAACGTCTCCTGAATCAGCTCTTCCCCCTCCACCTTCCCCACTGCAGCCTCCTCCCCCCTCCGCCCTGTCCTCAGGCCTCAGGATAGCATATGAGGTTCAGGATCTGGCCCTGCCTGCCCTCCTGACACCAGCGTCCCCCACAACCCCTTTCTCGCCACCCTGAAGAGCCAGCCAGCCAACTGGACACCTTGAGCATGTCACACTCCGTGCCTCTCCACATGCTGTTCCCACTTATCAAAATGCAGCCCCAGGCTCCCGCCTGGGCATGTCCCCTAGTTCTTCAAGTCCATTCGGATGTCAGCAGTCCTGTGACAAACTCCCCCTGGCTCGCATTCCAGTTCCTAAGTGGCTCTCGCATGTTTAATGGTCTGACGGGGCTGCTTGAGGGCAACTCTGTCTTATCCACCTTGGAGCAGCTCCCCCATCCTTCCCTCCCTGGTCCCCATGTCGGCCTCAGTGCCCATGTTAACCCTGCGGGACCCAGAGCCCGCTCCATTGCGTGCCCTGCAGCACAAGGAGGGCAGGCGGCAGGCTGGGAAAGCACAGGCCAGCGTGACCAGGTGGGTGCGAGCCTGAGCCCCCCAGCCCCTGACCTGCGGGTTAAGGTGGTCTCGGAGTTGTCCATCCTGGGGCTCATCTGAAAAGAGATGGGAGATGCCAATGAGTCGGGGTCCCAAGGAGGCCATGGCCCCCTCAAGGGCTCAGTTTTCAGAACATGTCCACCTCCTGGGGCCTCCCACCCACCCCTGCTCACTCCCCACCACACCCCCACTGAAGGCCCTCCTCTGATCTGGGACCCCCGCCTGCTCACCAGGCTGGGTCAGCAGCCCCTCCCTGGACGCCCCCAGGGGGACCTGAAACCGCCAGGTTCCCGTCTGCTTCCCGCCGTCCTGGGCCCTGTAGGGCAGGGACAGGCACCAGCCGGCACCCGGCCTCGAGCCTCCTCCCCCAGGCCTGGCACAGCACACGGTCAGTCAGAAAATGAGTGAATGACCTGGCAAACAGAGCTGCCAGAAGTAAATGCTGGAATGAGGGGAGGCGAGCGGCCCCCGCCCACGAGGTGCGCGCTCCAGGGGTGGAGAAGGGTGCTGGGCACAAGAGCCCCCTGACCTGCCCTGCTGAGCGAGGAAGGAACTGAGCAGGCCTCCCAGGGCCACGTCCCCACCGCGCCGCCTTCCTGCAGGCCGGGCGCCGCCAGACAGGGCTGTTCAGCCTCGGCCACACCCACCCCCACCTGCTAACAGCCCCTCTACTACCCAGCTGCAGCGGCGCCCAGGGCCAGCCGCCTGCAGACAGCCTCGCTGCTCTCTCGCCCAGGGCCCCGTGCCGACGACGGGGGCTGGTCTCCACGAGCCCTCCAGAGGGCTGCGGACAAAGGTGCCCTGGGCCCTCACCCGAAAGGAGATGGTCCTGGGGCTGGAGCGCTGGAGGGAGCTGCTGTAGGTGGACTGGGTGGGCGAGGGTGTGTCTGCCTCGTCCTCCTTGCTGGGGATTTTCATCTGGATGGAGTGGAGGAGGGGATTGTCACACACAGGTCTGGGCAGCCCCGAGCCCAAGCCGCCACAGGGGCCCCGCTGGCCTGGCTCATCCCAGGAGCTGCAGGGGGAAGGGGGAGACAGCCCTGTGCCCTCGCCGACTGCCTTCTGTCCCTCCGCCCCTGCTGTGGGGATGGTGCACACAGTCCTAGGGGCCAGGCCACCAGGCAGAGCTTTCCAGGGGAACTTCCAGAAGGATCTGAAGCTTCCCAAGTTTGCTAGGGTCTGGAGTCGGGGCCATGGATGAGGATGTGGTGCGGGGTATCAGGTGCCCCCCACCACACAGCCGATAACCCCTCCCCACAATGAGTGCTCTACCCTGACAGCGTCTGGAAGCAGGTAGGAAATGGCCTAGAGGGAGGACAGGGGACAGCGAGGGAACCAGGGGCCACCTGGGCAGGACCAGAGGGGAGGGGGTGTCACTGCCAACCTGGAGAGTGATGGGTGGGAGGTGGCAAGCCACTGGCAGAGGCTCTGGCCTTTGCTCTCGCAGCCCTGCCGAGGACGGGGGCTTCTTCTCGGGGCCGGCCCTTCTCTGCCCCTCGGTGGTGGACGGGCTCTCCCCAGAGGCCAGCTGCTCCTGGGCCTCGGGCTGCCCCGAGGCCGCTGCCCTCAGCGGGGCCAGCCTTGTCTCCGTGGCCGGGGTCTTCTCAAAGACTGACGCCTTCTCAGACACCAGGCTCCTCTCCGAGCCCGGCGCCTTCCCTGAGGCCGGCAGCTTCTCTGAGACACTGGTTTTTTCCAGAACTGATCTCTTTCCTGGGGCAGTCGTCTTTTCCAACACTGCGATCCTCTCCAACACAGACACTTGGTCGCGGCTGGGGGCCTTCTCAGAGACGGAGAGCTTGGAGTCTGGTCTCTTTTCAGGCACTAATGTCTTCTCTACAGCAGAAGGCTTCTCGGGAGCCGGGCCTTTTTCCGAGACGCCCCTCCTGCTGCCTCCTGGCTCCCTGCCGGCCGAGCTCTCCTCCTCCAGGGCCCAGGAGCCCGGCCGCCCCTGGCTCAGTCTCCTGCGAGACAGCAGCTCCACCTCCTTCTTGGGCACCGGGGGCGCCTTCTTGGCCTGCCCAGCGGCCGAGCTGTCCCTCCCCTCCTCTGCCTCCAGCTGCTCCCGGATGGGGGCCTGTGCCACCTCCACCGCCTGCCGCCTCTGCCTCCGCTCCTGCCGCGACCTGAGGGTGGCCCGGACATCCTCGTCCTCATCTTTGGAGGCTGGGGGTAGTGGCTGGGGCACCTCTGCTTCCTCCACGCTCAGCGGTCTGAGTTGGAAGGTGGGAGATGGGGCAGGAGACAGAGTCAGGAGCCATCAGGGGGCCACCATGGGGGCCCCGCTGGCCTGGCTCATCCCAGGAGCTGCAGGTTCACTCGGCCCAGTGAAGATGCCTCCGGGGCCTCGCCCAACCACCATCAGTTCAGTAAGGATCCTTTACCAGCTTTATACAGTGGGCTTATGGGACACCATCTGAACAAAGTGAACCACGCCTTTAAACAAAGTTTATAAACCCCTGTAAGGGGCAACCATCCCGTGCTCTGCCCCACTCAAAAAAACCTGTGCCAGACCCCGCGCAGGGCGTTGAGATCAAAAGGAACGTGTGGGCCCTGCCTCCTGCAGCTTGCATCAAGACCAGAGACGGTGAGGGGTTGTCACAGGTCACACAGGTACCGGGCGGCGGAGCTTGGAGTAGAACCCAGCTTCTGAGGCACCACCCGCATCCCTGTCAGCTACGTGGGAGCAGCCCAGGACACACAGCCTTGTCCCTCCTCTGGGGGACCCCGGGGAACAGGAGCAACATAAGAGGACTGTCCAAAAGCCATTGCACTTGGCCTCCAGCAGGGGGGACTTTTCCTTCCTCACCACCCCGCTCGCCGTGTGATCTGGGGCCAGTTGATTCTCGGTCTGCAAACTGGGCTTGTTCAGAGGTGAGATGAGACTCCTCCCACGAGGCACCCAGGAGCATCCGATGAGCTCAGCCCTTCTCTCCCTGCCCCTTGGAACCCTAAACCCTAGTGGCCAGACCAGCCCCGGGGTCCTCCCCTCGGAGGTGAATTACGGTCAGGGTTAGACGGAGGCAGCCTGGTTTAACGGAGGGGTTGGGCCACAGCGCCTGACAGATGTGGGCGACAACGGTGGCCTGTCTGCCACTGTTTGGATGGGTGCCCTCCGCACGTCCCCTGCGTGCTCTTTGACCCAGTTTCTCCATCTGCAAGGTGGGTTAACAACGCTCTCTCTCAGGATACCATCACGATTGAGTTGCGCTCATAAAACGTCCAGCAAAGGACTGCCCAGTCCAGGGAGTACCAGTCCTAACTGCTGTCCTGACGAGGGCGGAACCTGGTGGGGAAGCTGGTCCCCCCGGCTCTCTGGCAGGGATGCCGCCGCGCCGCGCCGTCCCCACCCCCGACACCTGCGCACCTCTCCAGGGCCGGCGGGTCTGCATCCGGGGACGGCCAGGGAGCTTCATCGTCCGAGGTGGACCTCAGGTTGCGGTGCCGCCGCCGCCGTTCCCGCTCCTGCTCTTCCTCATCCTCCAGGGTCCATTGCCTGGCCAGGCTGGCGGGGAAGGGGGTCAGCACAGCCCTGGAGAGCCCCGAGCCCTGCCCCCCAGCTGCGACAACAGGAAGTGTTTCCCCTGTTCTGTGTCATAGATGCCCCCGGGGCAAAACCACCCAGACGGGAACCCCTGGCCTGGGCTTCACCCTGGCCCCGGTGTGGGCAGGGGGCCGCTCTCGGGTGGCCAGGCACGTGGGCGGGGGGCCGCTCTCTGGGGTGACCGGGCACGTGAGCAGGGGCCGCTCTTCTGCCTGGAAGTGGTGGGCAACCTTGACAAGCCCCTCGCTCTGGTCCTGGGCTCTCAGGTGAAACCCCACACAGATAGGCAGCAACGTCCTCGGTCACTCGGCTCCCCGTGGGGCTTCTCAGCTCGGCAGAGGGGAGACCCTCAAACCAGAGCAACTACACCCAAGGAGATTCTGGTGTCACCTTCTCATCACCTGCCAGGACCTCTGGGAGCCTCTCTCCTTCTAGAGCCAGCTCTCCCGTGTGTCCCGGAGCAAGGGGCACACCCCGCTTTTGGTTCCTGCCCCGACTCCTTCATTCACAGGACCAGCGAGGCCTTCTCACACCCACCCACCCACCCCTGCCAGCCGCCCCGGCCACCCCCTTCAACCTGTCCACCCATCCAGCCACACGTCCATCCAAACTCCCCTCCAGGCACCCCCTTCCCCACCCACCTGTCCTACCACCTCCCCACCTCCCCCCACCCACCCGTCCTTCCATCTCAACCAAAGAGCAAGTATCACTGAGGACCTGCAGTGGGCCTGTCCCCATTGGGAACTGTGGGTTCACAGAGCAGGGCAGGGTCCCTGTCCTGGAGACACCCACCATCCAGTGAGAAAGAGAAGAGTGTCCACCAACCAGAGCATGGAAGTTGCTCTACACAGGGAGAGAATGGTTACTGCTGGCCGGGATTGTCAGCAAAGGCCCCGGAAAAGACTGAAACTTGGTTGGACCTCAGTGAGAGTGATGGGAGGGGCTGGGAGAAGCCAGGGGCCCAGGGGGAGGGGGTCCCGGAGGGGGGAGGGGGTCCAGGCGGAGGGGAGGGACCAGCAAGCCTAGAGGTCAGAGGCGGGGGATTGTTGGAGGGGGAGGCCGAGCTTCACCCAAAGCAGCAGGAGGTCTGGGCTGAGGGTCAGCCACCAAGTGCTGTCTGGGGACCAGATCAGGAGGGTCTGGAAGAAGCCGCCTCCTTGCCCAGAGTCACGGCAGAGGCTGTAAGGCCTCCCCTGGCCCGGACAGGCGCCAAAGCTGTTCTCCCAGCCTCTCCTGCTGCCCAGCCCTGCCCCCTCCTACAGGGCATCCCATGCAACCAAGCCTCAATTTAAGGAGTAGATGTGTTTCTGGGAAAGAGAAAAAGAAAAATCATGCAAACCCATGAGCTTTATAAACGGAAGTACATGTAAGATGCGTCTGAGGAGCTTCCTGAAGAAGAGTCCCCTGCCCCGCAAGGAGCCTCCTACGGGGCGGGGTCTGCAGGGCTGGGCCCTCCTGCCGGGGCAGCTCACCCCTCCCCTCCCCGGTTCTCCTTTCTAAAAGCAGAGTCACACGGTGGCCCCGATCTTTTTTTCTAGGTCCAGCATCACATTTGTTGACCAACTATTCACTAAACACACATTTTTTGAGCCAGACAGCTTCCAGGGATGGGGTGCAGCAAGGAAGGAGATGGCAGGGGTTCCTCCTTCCTCGGGGCACATGTCGGAATGCGGGAGTCAGACCTAGAGCAGGAAGGGGCTCAAGGACGTCAATGCCTGGTGGGGAACGGGCCCCGGGAGCCAGAGGAACCGGACGTGGCAGCGATGCCCCGGGAGGAGTGCACAGCAGGCACACCGGCCTGGGTGTGAGGGTGTCATGGCTGTGCTCAGGGGAAGGGGAGCCAGGGCGAGGGCTTCGGGGACCAGGGAAAGAGCGTGGGGTCTATTCCAGCGTGCAGGGAGCCACTGGACAGCGCCACACTGAGGGCTGACGGGGCAGGACTTACTGTTACTATGACTGTAAATCCCTCTGGCCGCTGTGTGGAGAGCAAACCTTAAGGATGGGGAAGAGGGGCTGGGGAGAGTGGCACGTGTCCCCCGTAGTGCCCCCTTTCCGGGAGACTCCTGCAGCTGCCTGGGCGAGGGCCCTGCTGGTGTGAACAGGGGTGGTGACAGAGAGATGGGGAAAGTCATGGATCTGGGACGTGTTCTGAAGATTGAGCTCACAGGGCTTGCTGACGGGCTGGATGAGGGGCGAGGGAAAGAGAAAAGTCAAGGAAAACGCCTCGGCGTTTCGGCCGGAGCGACTCCTGGTGCTGCTGTTAGACAGACGGGCCGACCAGGAAGGAAGGGGTCTGGTGAGATGGCAGGCGGTAGGGGGACGGGAGGCAAGAAATGAAGCGTGAGGAGGAGATGCCCTGGAGAGGAAGGAGACCCGGGAACCGGGAAGGGCTGACCTGGAGCGGGGCCAGGCCAGGCGGTCCACACCCCTGGAAGGGCCAGGCCGCCAGGAGGCAGTACTGAGCAGAGGCTCCAGGTCCCTGAGAAAGAGCTGTCGGAAAGCGTAGGGGAAGCCAGGAAAAAGGAACTGGTGGCCGCCAGCAGCTCTTCTGAGTTTCAATGGGAAGAAAGTAAGATGGGATGGTCCCCAGAGCAGGACGAGCACGCAAAGGCTGCTTTCATAGTTCAAATGAAGCAGAGAGGAGGGTACAGAGGGTGGAGCAGGACGCGGGAAGAAGCTGCCCCGCGAGGAGAGGAAACACCACGGGATGGGGCGCGTTCACCTCCAGCACCCACCGCGGCGCCCGGCAGCACGCACACATGCCGGCAGCCGTGGGACAGCGTGGCGAGTCAGCCTTCCTCCCCAGGAATTGCCATGTCCGCCTTGATAAACAGGAGCACGAAGAGGGAGCAAACGCTAGGCCCCACATGGCATCTGCCCACGCCCCAGGCCCTTGGAAGGGAACCTTCCAGAACCTCCCAAGTCTGACCATCAGGGCAGCTCTCAGTGAAAACCTCAGTTCCTCCTCTTCAGTCAGGTCTCCGCTCCCCCTGCGTGGGATGGGGAGGGCTCCCCGTGGCCTTGACCACGGATGGAAGCCAGATTCCCTGGGCCTTCGATCACTCACTTCCTCCTTAGGAACCAGGCCCCCTGCCCCGCGCCTCCCCACTGCCCTCTTCAGCCGCTTTCCTCTGGGGCCACATTGGCGTCCCTCCCTCCTCCTCTGGACCCAGCCCTGCCCAAGTCCACAGTCTAGGACCAGCCGCACCCTACAAAGCTGAGGGATGCCCCTTCCTTGGGGAGAGTGGCCCACAGAGCCAGGCGCTCCTCCTCCCCAAACCCCCGGCCTCAGCTGGGGGCGGAGCCTCCAGGATTCCTCGGGCCTGAGCAACCTGGTTCCCACACAGGCCTCAGCCCTCAGGGGAGCCGCTGGTTTGTTTATGGGGCCTGAGACGTCCGCGGTGTGTGATCTGTCAGAGCCTGGTCTCCTCGGAAGTGACTCACTCCCAGGCGGGCCATCGCCCTGCAGGGTCTCAGGGCTGGAGCTGCAGGAGGTGGGGCCCAGGTATCCTGGAGTGTCCCCCAGCTCTGCATCAAGACCCCACCGGTCACCCAAGAGATGTGGTCAACCCCACCCCACCCTGGGAGACATGTCATCTCCACAAAGCAAAGCGTGTTCCTCCAGAGATGAGGAAACAGAGGGGAGGAGGGCGAAGGTCAGGGTCCCGGGGAGCTGGCAGGGGCAGCAGCTGAGGCCCCGTGATAAATACATGATAACCGAGGGCCGAGGACAGGGCTGGGCATTCAAGGGCACACAAATGCTTGCTGAATATGAACAGGGAATCGAAAACACAAAGGGCAGAGGAGCCAGGGCCCCGGCCGTGCTGAGGCCTCCCGATGGCCTTCTCGGGGCAGGTGCGATTGTTCCATTTTGCAGATGAGGGCGCTGGGGCTCACAGGGGCTCGCAGCGCTGCCAAGACAGGACAGGATGAAAAGAAGGAACCGAGTTCCAGCCTAGGTCAGCCTCTCAAGGGCCCTTAACCACAAGCCCAAGTGGCAGGAGGGACAGACAGACGTCCTGCGAGGCACAGCTCCAAAGCAGAGCGAGGCCCCACCGACCAGGGAGCCCAACACCTGCACAGTCAGAAGGGCTCAGGGGAGCCTGTGGGGCTCAGGACGTGAAGGGCTCCCCGGCCCAGGCAGCCTGAGCTCATGGCGCAGCCTGGGGGAGCAGGCTTGGGGAACCCCAGAGCCAACGCGTTGACCTTTCGAGCTCCAGGGCCAGGCCAGGAGGAGCGTGCAGACCCCGCGCCCCAGGGAGTCCCAGTCGCTCTCACCAGCTGATGCCATGGCCCTGGGCAGCTGCCCTGCCACCCCCACCCAGAACCCTGTCCTCCCCCTCCTAGCCTTATTTGGGGACACACATCCCTTTGCCACCCTCCCTACTCCTGACTTCACAGCTCCACCCTGAGGAGAAGGGACCTCTTTCCCTTGAGCTGGCTCTGCTCCCTCCCTTGGGCCTTCTTTCTGTGCACTCGATGCAGCTGTGGGCGGGGGTGTGCGTGCCCTCAGGTGTACCCGCAGAACACTTCTCCCCCAGCTGAACTCCATCTGGAAGCCCATCGCACGACAGATCGACAGATCGACAGATCGAGGCTCGGGGCTCTGGTTAAAGCAGGGAAGGGTGTGAAGCCCGCCCCAGAGCATCCTGGGAACCCTGGGGCCCAAAGAGCATGGGTCTGCACATCTTGGAAGAGGAGAAAAGGGCACCCAGGCAAGGCACTGGGCCAGAAGATGCAGCTCTGATTGGCCGCGTGGCCTTGGGCAGCCCCTGAGGGGGACAGGCCTTCCACGCAATGAGGGGTCACTGTGGGTGGCCAGCGGGGTCCCTTCCAGCACTGATAGTCTAGAGAGAGGTGTCAGGGAGAGCCGAGGGCTGCTCAAGGCCCAGGCAGGGAAATGATTAACAGCTGCCGCTCAGTCCCGGCGCTCCCAGATCCACCCCTCACCCCCCATGGACAGGCCCGCCCAGCCTCACCCCTCACCAGGCGGGCCCAAGAAGGAGAGGGCAAGGCCGCTGACCGGGGACCCCTGGCCAGCCAGCTCACGGCTGTCCCCGTCCCAGGGCTGGAGCATCAGAATTTCTGCCTCGTGCCAAGGCGGGGCTGCAGGCTGGACCTCGGCTGCCCACCTGGGCCCTGTCTGGGGCCACGCTCCTCACACCCTCCTCCCAGGCCTCCCAGCCTGGGAGGCTCAGTTGACTGTGACTCACAGCCCCTCCCTCCTGCCAGCTGAGGCTTGTTCACAAGGGAGCGGGACGGGAGGGCCCTCTGCTCCAGGTGCCTCATCGGGGTGACGGCTGGCAACAGCTGTGTCTGCCCACAGGGCTTGGGGAGGGCTGGGGCCCAGCAGGGAGGCAGGCCAGGAGCTCTGCGGCAGGACCGGCTCTCTAGGGGGTGTCCCTCGCTGCCCTGGACATCCATGGCACTGGCCCCCGCCCCTGCAGCCACAGGAGACCAGGTCCATCTGAGCAGGGGGCAAGCCAAGGCCAGACCCTGCTCCCACTTTACAAGTCCCAGTGCCCCCGCTGCCCAGCAGGCCGCCCCCCCCGCCACACACATCCAGGCACGCTCTCAGACCCACACTCGTGTGCACACGGAGGCACACGGACACAGATACGCCCCACCTGGAAGCACAGACGCTCCCACATCAACCCCCTGCGCGCAGAGTCCGAGGCCTTGACCTCCAGCCCCGCCCTCAGCACAGACCCTCCCTGGGTGTGTCCAGCCCCTGAGGCAGCTGGTCCAAATGTCCAGAACCTGAGTTCCTCCTTCCTCGGGGCACACTCCTCCCTCTTTCTGGACGGGGGTGACCAGACAACCGCTTCAGAGCAGCGAGGTCTGAGGGTCCGGATAGGACCCCAGCCCTGGAGAATGAACTGCCATAGGGAGGCCAGGTCTGAGACCTTGGAGAAGCTCCAGGGCCCCTGGGTGGGGGCGGATGGGGATCACCTTGATGGGGAAGGCCTGGGAGGGGGCTAATCCACACCTGAGAGGGGCCAAGAGGCCAGTTTCTACTGGCTAGAGCCTTTGGGGTCAAAGAAGTGGGGACCCCACTCCGATCCATGACTACATGGGCCTCAGTCTCCTTAGGGACAAAATTGTGGGAGGGGAATGCAGAGATCGGAGGTGAAGACGCTCGGGGAAGCATCTCTAGGGGATGTGCAGGGTGACTACAAGAGGAGTCCAGGGGTCACCAACCGCATGAGGAGTGCCGCCTCCTGAACACCCCCACCCCCACCCTTCTCTGACCCAGCAGATGTCCAGCAGGCAGGGATACGATACCCAGTCCCCTGACCCTTTGAAGGACCAGCTCACAAGACTGAAACACAGAGGGGGACAGCAACTATCTTGAGGTCACCCAGTGCAGACGCCACCCCAGAATGCCACACTCAGAACCTGAGCCTTACCAGTGGGAGGGGACCTGTCCCCCTCTGGTCCTGGTCGCTGACCCCTGTCCTGCCGACCCTCAGGGCGGCCCTGGCCCTGTGCCCCCTCCTCCTCTCCAAGGGGGGCTGTGAGGCATCTAGGGCCACTCACAGCTCCCTGCAGGGAACCGAGAGCGGCGAGGGGGGCTTCCCAGGAAATGAGGCTTGGTCATAACTCCCGAACGACTCCTCCATCCCCAAAACGGCCTCTCCAGTCTGGGACAGCGCTCCCAGGCAGCCTGCTTGTGCCTCGGTCCCCAGAGGGGAAGGAGGCGGCGGCGGGACAGCCGGGACACCCGGGGCCGCCCCAGTTCGGCCCCAGCCCCGTCGCCCCCCAGGAGCGGCCAGCCCCCGGGAGAGGCCGCGGGCTCACCTGGACAGCGCGGCCCAGTCCTTCCTGCTGACGGACATGCCGCCGGAGCCCGCGCGCCCGCCGCGTGCGTCGTGTCCGC